GACGTCGAATGCACGATTTGAACGACGCCCTGGACGAACTGCGTTCGGTAATCCCTTATGCGCATTCACCATCGGTGCGGAAGCTGTCAAAAATCGCCACTTTACTTCTAGCGAAAAACTACATCCTCATGCAGGCGAACGCCTTGGAGGAGATGAAAAGACTGATTGCCTATTTGCAAGGCACCGCAAACACGGCCACCATTGTTGCACCGCCTGGCTTTGACCTGCAAGGCTTCCCGGCCGCTGCGAAATTTCTGCAACAACAGCAACAACAAGTTAATGAAGCTGCTAACCAGGCACAGGTTCAAGCTAGGACTGGCGAGAGAAGTGCCAATCAGCCAACAACACAAAATCTTTAAAGTTAAACACTCGTACAAAGAAATGAATAAGCAATGAAAAGTTAGGTTAGAATTGCCTCACTGTGATGTGTCCATTTAGAGGCGAAAAAACACGACAAATTTTAGCAGTTTAGAGAGTATTTAGCTGCTGGTGTTCTAGTCATACATAGATACTTACTTTTTCATCTATATTTACGAATTCTAGTGGAGTAGTTGTGGTAATTTTAGGTTAGAGTAGAGATTTTATTTATCGTGAGATATGCCAAAACAAGACGCCAAACAAGATTGATATTTTATGTTTGAAAGTGAATTTATACATGTACGACTATATGAAATGTAGTAATAAATATGTGCGTATTTAATTTATCGGTATTTGCTTTAAAGGTGAAAAAATAAACGTGTAGCGCCATCTATGGAAGACTAGAAAGTAAAAATCTGAAAATTTTGGTTAAAAATGTTTTTAAACTGTGGAATCTAAACACAAAAATGATATAAAACTAAAAATTTCATTTTTTACGAATTAAAATTTCACATTTTGTTAAAACAGTTCCAAATGTGCAAAAAAATCGACGTTCCATAAATGAAACAAAATTGAATCCATAAACCAGGATTCATTTCGGCGCGTCGTGCCTCATCTCTCATAAACTTTAACAAATAGCACCCGTTCTCGGCACGACACTCCGTCGCACACCGCCACCCCCAACACGAACTTGTTTCCAGTGACAATCTATTGATTTATAAAGCAAAAGCACCATAAATTCGAAAACGTAATACTTTTCGCCGCCGCCACCACCACCGCTGCCGGTCGATTTGCCTTTTACCTCTTTCGCGCACCGCGCGCTCGCCGCCCCCCTCTCAGTTGTCTTTGTTCGCATTCGCACTGCCTCAGCATCCCGAATCATCCGAATCGTTTTATTTGACGTGTGTGCATGCATGCAATGCATTTGTACACCACTCCTGCAGCGAATCACAATAGAAAACGTGGGAATGATGCAAAAAGTCAAGTGCGACGGTGGCGGGTGCAGGAAATTAATGTGTCTCCCGGATATTCACCTAGGTATCAACATGCTACGCGTTTCCTTCTCTGAATTTCTGAGTTTTGGAAGGTTTTGGTTGCTTTTAGAGTATGTAGAGGATATTTAGTTAAAAACTTTGGTTTCTTAGTTATTTTGCGGATATTTCTTTGTTGAAATTGAACCGTTGAGGGTGAGGGTGGGTGAACTCTTCGCTGAAATGCAGGCAATGCGGGCAAAGCGTGCAAAGTGGAAATCGGCAAAGTAAAACCAGAAAAAAGTGAAATAAAAGAGGGGGAAGCATTCAGGAAACGCAAAATTACAAAAAATCCATTGTAATCCACAGCAAATTAAAGAAAAAGAAAACAAAAATAAGTCCCTTCCGTAATTTGTACATAAAAACAAAACTAGGCAAATACCCGTAGATATTATTCTAAATATAAAATTCTTATTACGTAAGTAGTCTTTGTTGAAGCAGCGCGATGGGGTAAAGTGAGGTAGCAGGCGATCCGGGCCCCGGTGAAAAATCCCTTCCCGGCAGGAACGATCGGCTTTGTTGCGCGTGGCGGCGCGCCGCGCACGTCCGCCGCCTGCCGCCGCCGACGGTGCGGAGCGCGCGCTCAGATCGCGTCGCGCCGCCGCCGCGCCGCCGTCGTTCTCTGTGTGTGCGGGGGACACACGCCAGCAGGTGTCCAGTGCTTATGCGCGAACCGCCGCAGGATCGGTAATCGGCATCAGATATGAAGCGTGCAGCCGGCTGCCGCCGCCGCCGTTCGGCAGTCGCTCGCCCGCTGCCGACGGCGACGCAGCGCTCGCTCCAGCCGCCGCAGACGCATCGGGGGAGGCAAGCGTGCTCAAATCACATTGAAATGTAAGTGAAAACACAACAAACAAAAAGCAAACAAAAAAATTTCAAAATAAAAAAATTCACATTTTAATAATTAATTTAATAATAAATTAGCAGAAATAAAATAAAATTAAATGTCAACAGGTGAAGACCAAACAAATACTTAACAAGCCACTAATTTATGACCGGCTGTTAACGTTAAAAATTTTACGATTTTTTTTATCACCTTGTTCGTAAAACTACGAATTCATTCACAAACCGCACAAATTTTCTTTTTAGTTTTATTTTATGTTTTAATTAAGTTAAAAGTGTAGATTTGTTGATGTGTTGACATGTTGACAAGTTGACAAAGTCGTCCGCACATGCGACACTTGTTATCTGCCGCCGCCGCCGGTGGAATTAATCAATATCAGGCAGTAATTGATCACAAATGATTCAATCCGTCGTGAATTATTACGCGCGCCATAACCCTATTCACGACCATCTTGCGACGTCATAAAAATAAATTTAATATTCATAATAGTTTCCGAATAATTACATAGATATAATTGAAGATAATGGCTGGAATATGTGTGCAAGTAGAGCGCGAACGTGTCGAATGAAAATAATATGTTTGCTCGAAATAAATGACGCAGAATAACTGAGTCGGAGGCGGCAAAAAATTGCTTTTTTTTGGATGTGTGTGAGGAATGAGGAGGAAATTGAATGGAAGCAGAGCCAAAGCCTCGCTTGGTTAATATTTATGATCGGTAATGATCGATATGTTGGTATATTACGCTCATCAGACTAAAAACTACCCTTAATAAGTAAAATATTAATATTAATGATTAATTCGTGTTGGTTTATTGACACATACTGTTTTTTTTTGTTGTTGTTAAATTTTGCTTTGACTTTATTTATTTTTTGTGTTTTGACTTTGATACTGATGTTTGTGGACTTTTTTAATCTGTCTCTTTACTTTATGCTACATACACTACTAACCCACTGCGCGCCGGGGGCGGCAACAACACGAGACGCGCATACGGTGACAATTCACATGCGGACACAAATTGAGCGTTTATTATTCGATTTTTGCATTTTAAACTTAAAATTAAAATTAAATATGTGTGTTTGTTAAGGGATGCAATTTTGACTTGCACCCCCAAAACCACCCCAACGTGTGTTCCGAGAAAATCAATATTTCGCCGTGGCGAACACACGGCCAAACAAACGCGGATCAATATATTCAATTTGCAGGGGGGCAGGTTATGTATACGGGCATAATTCACCCCATCCCCTATTTAGCCCTTCATGCACGCGTACCTATATCAATTGTTTACTTGAGCGGATTACCATCACTATCACTATCAACAAAAATAAAATAAAAAATATTAATAAATTAATTAGATAATAATTTAATCACTTTTATAAAAATGTATTATGATTTTGAATTTTTTATCTAAACTAAATTTAAATTAATAATCGAAGCGAATTAATCGAATACCGTTGACGTTGAACAATGTCAAGGTTAATATGCAGTCCGTGGGAACATGCCAAAGCTGTGCGGCGGGCGGCGAAGCGGCGGCGCGTTGCGTTTTTACGAGCGTGACGATGTAAATAAAACTAAATGACCGGCCGCCGATCGTGCGTGCGCGATTTCCACGCGCGCGCGCCTAATTTCGCCGCAACCCAACGTGCGCTAATAATACCTACAACTTAATTATTAGCTTAGGTTATGTTCGTGTATGATGCAACACAAGTTGCATAGTGTGTTGCGGTGTGCATTTGTCTCGAAATGAGTCTCTCCGGTTGTGCGGTCGCCGCCCGTCGACGACGCGCGCGCGAATATAGCTGCAATATATTCCGTCTATACGTGAAATCAATGTGTTCAGTTGGTTGCCCCGGCGACGGCGCCGTCGTCATGGTAACAGCTGCACAGACGCCGCTGCTACCATCACCAACCATCACTTCCACCACCACCAACAACAAAACAAAACAAATAAATTACTTAACCTCAAACGTAAAATACGACACATAACCTAGAAAATGTTGTCTGAACAAGTTTTAGTTGTGTGTGTGTGTGTGTGTGGTGTGTTTGTTTCCGATTCGCGATTGTTACGTCGGTCATGGACTCCGGCAAACATAGCTTGATTGACGTAAGAAGTGGTTTGTGTTTGTGTGCGCATGCGCATCACGCTGGTGGTGGTAGAATAGTAATCGTACGGTGTTGTGGCCGCGGCGAAATTTTTCGCAATCATTTCTCCGTGACCTGATTGCGAAGAGGCGATCTTTTCGCGGTAAGTTTCTATCGCAGCCGACTTAAATAAAACGCAAAAAGTATTTTATACAACATACCATGTGTTCGCATAGATCATAATCTACGCGTAGATAAAATAAATTTCAAATTGAATATTTTCGATGTTTCATAACGCCGCAGGTCTTATATTGTGTTGATTTGACATTTCTACTACAACTCTGACCTAGATTTGCGCGCGCACACATTTTTCTAGGTTATGCGCGTTACGTGCTCGACCACACTTGTTGGCTGGTGCGGTTTATTATTACACTTGGCTAAATTACGCCGTGCGCGCGCGCCCTTTTCCTTCGAGACGAAATTTTCGTTCATCAAATTAACTTTTTACGAGCGCAAATAATGAAAGTGCTCGCATGTTGATGATTTGTTTTACAAATAAATCGATTAATTCAATTTGGACACCTTGTATGAGTGTATCTCGTGAATGACTAGGTGTGTACAAGAGATAGAACGGAATGGAGAAGCGTGCAATTTTCATCCTGACGTTTATATTATGTTTGCGCGAAGCGGCGGCGGCGGCGGGGGCGGCTGGTTTTGTGTCGAGGAGGTGCGCCGGATCATCACTGAGGCCGCGGCCGCCCGAATATTACCAACCCCACCATCACTTCTGCCGCCAACGAGAAATCTACATTTCAAAAGGATTCACTTGGTTTTTTTCTTCTTTCGCTACGTGTAAGCAAATAAGAAACAAATATTCACGTCGAACAATAAATTTTATTCATGCTAAAAATAAAATATAACTAATGATGCTTGCTTGCTTGGTAAAGATTTCCGGTATAAGTTTCGAAAATACGATGTTCATCCGCGTGAGTAGAATTGGTGCGCTGACGCCACCGCCGTCGCCGCCCCCAAACCAGCGTGTGCATATATATATACACATCTATGGAGAGTTTGAGATCAATAATTCCTTAGACGGAAACGGTCGAGGGTGCGCGGATAAACACGAAACCGGGCGTCGATATGCCGCCCCCGTGTACGTATATTTAACAATATGCCGGCGCTGCCACCAAGAGAGAAAGAAAACCGCGCGCGCGAAGGAAACAAAGTGAAGAGTGGAAACTCTCTGCTTTTCGCGGAACGGGGGAGAAGTCAGTCAGGAGGGTATATCATCGCGCCCACACTCAGCCCGGGGGCGGCTTTAATAAAAATAAATCTATAAACTTTTCACCACCACGAAATTTACCATCTTCAAGTGAAACAAATTAGAAAAAATATCTTTACATTATCAAGATTAATGTTTTAAAAAAATCATAATTTTTCTTGCGCATGCGCGAGAAAAAAAACCGTTTCATTCTACAGGTGTCGCAGAAATTTAAAAATATTATAATATATTTTTAATCCACATCAACCGAAATCAAAATATAAAATCTAAATGCCATTTCAACCCCTCGTGATCTGATCCCGATGACGTGCAGCGCGTGAATATTCAACAAATTCGAGGTGGGTGTCAATGACAGCTCATTAACTGTCATTCAACTGTTCATTTACAATCAATAATCACCAGTGAGAGCCGGCTTACACACACCGCACACACCCACCCCCGCGCGCGTTTTCCCGCGTTTTCCACTCTCCACTTACGTATTTATGAATAAAAAATCAACGTCGAGCCGAACAGGATACTTATGATCCTTTCAGGTTTCAGACTCGTTCAGACTGCGCTCGCAGGGGTGCGCAGGGGGGCGGCGCCTCAAATCGATGTGTGGCGGTTGGTTATCGCGGCGTCGGCGGTGGTGCCGCCACCGGGTAGTTCAGTGTGCCAGTCGGCGGCGGTGGTGGTGGTGGTGGGCGACGTCGTCGTTTTTTACACCACGCATTCCCACACTACACTACACTATGGCAGTGAGGATGGGGGGCGGTTGGGTTGGACAAAGCGCCATGAATAATTTAGCGACGCGCGCGCAAAAACTCCGAAATCCGAATTACACATGGTGTCTCACACTCATACTCACACTCACTCCCTCTATATACTAGTAGTTGTTCATGACGAGAATAATGATGTGACGTCATTTTCACGTGAAAATAAAAATAAAAACTCGCGATGCGAAATAAATTAAACAACTGATTAGATACTGCCAGTTGAGTTGGTGGGTTTGGTTTTTTTTTCATGTCAATTTAAAGTACAGGAGCTCATTTCGTGGCGTGCAATCGCACATTATTTACAAGTGTATTTTTAAATTGAGAACGAATTGAACGGCGAGCGACCAAGCGAGCGATAATAATAGCATCGGCAAATGTAAACGGTACACACGCGCATGTCGCGGCTATTTTCAAGCGGTGCAACGTGTTTCGTTTATGTACGCATAACGAAAAAATAGATTTTACTGCCGAGGCATTAAAGTGACATTGTCATCATACACGTCATTAACCTAACTTAACGTCAGCAAGTTTTTACCACACACGGTTAATTTAATAATTTATTACTCACTTTAAATATGAAATTTTTATTCAACTTTGATTTTCGGCGCTTTGAAGTGTTGAATGAATGTCAGTAGGACATGCAGGAAGTTTAGAATAACTAGCGCGTGCACCTCTCAAAGATTTCGACGGTTTTCAACGAATTTCTCTCAGATATGTTACACTTTTCACACTTAATATCATTTTGTGAGGTTATGAAAATAAGGAAGATGAAATTTAATGCCGATTTGTACACAGAGTTAAAGTTAGCGGTTAAAGTTGATTAGATTTTGATATGATTTTAATCCTAATGCGCTCCGCTTGCCTGCGTTGCCGTTTCGCAGCGGGGAAATAATAGCGAAATTAAAACCGCGATTCTTTTGTTATGCTCGCGCACTCGCGCTCGCTTCCGAAAGTTTTCTCGCTGAGCGCTGCGCGTAACGGGTCTTTGATCCGACGTCGCTCGATGTTCTTTTATTTAAAACAAAACTATCTTAACTACACTTATAAACGCTGTAGATGTATAGAGTAATAAATATTGAATTTTGATGGTAAAAGTAAAGTTTAAAAATCAGCGAGCATGCGCCGTGTATCCAAACAAGCAATCTGTGTGCTTGTTTGCCTGAGTTTTCCCTGGATTCTTTGGTATGCTATCTGCGCATCGTGTGCGTTCGATCCGGATCGGCTCAATCTCTCCGCCTCACTTGTTACTGGTAGCGAGACGAAGCACGCACCACGTCGTTGATGCATTCGAGGCGGCAAGCGCGTTTGCGCCGTGTCCGTGTGTGTAGGCGCTGCGCGGCCGGAGAGCGAGTCGGTCCGACCAACGTCAACGGTCGGCCGGTGCGTCGCACTCGTTCGGTCGCGGGCCAGACGCGGCAGACACAGATGTCGAGAATGAGCGCAGCGCGGCGAGTTGCCTGCCCGCACACACAAAAGCCGCAGCGGCCCAGCGCGACGCCACACTGTGCCGAACTAGCTATCCACACACAATTCAGCTACAGAGTGATACAAGAATAAATATCACCAATACAAAAATTTGTTATTTATAACTTTATCATGGTAAAAATTAATCAGCGCCATTTTTAGACGTAATAAATTGAATAAATGAGTAGATGTTTAATTTATGACTATGTGATGATGTATTTTTCAAAAGTTGATTTTTTTGATAAATTATTGTATCACCCTGTTGGTGAGAGCCCGGCTGCTAGCAAACGTAACTAACGTTCGCTCACACTTTATGCCACCGCTTTGCCCGTCGACCGTCGTACGGTACGTAATACTCGCTGCTCGATGGTAGTGGTTCGACGCGACTGCCGAGAGCTTCAGTCGATTCGCGGCGCTTCGTTTGTGCGCTTTATCTGAGAAAACCCTGAACCGAGTACTCAAAACATCACAAAACAAAAAAAAAACAAGTGAATAATCAACTGATAATAATAAAAAAAATTATCTATGAAAATAGTAAAATACGTAAAATTTCGCCAAATAATTAAAAAATAAATTTGAATTTTGTTTTCATACCGTACCAAATTGATCAGTGCGTAATCTGCGCGATGTCGGCGTGATCGGGTGAATAATGTCATCGTTTGAATGTTCGCGCGTTCGGATTGGCCGACCGACAGGACGACGACGACGACGATGTGAGTGCGTTCCTGTGCGTTCAGTGTCGACCGCTTTCGACAACAATCGAATGAAATAACTGACTCTGCGCTGCTGCTGCTGCTGCCCACACTCACCGTGTGTGTGCAGCTTCGAATGTTGCTGTTGCCAATAGCAACACGTTCGGGGAAAAAAATATCAACCAGGCAAGAAACAAGTGAGCGTCGGCCGTATTACAATCGACGTGTCTCACTCTTACCCATTGATGTGTAACAGCTTGTTGCTTGTTGTGTGCATGTGTGACGCGTCGAAACGTTGAAAGTTCTCCGCGCGTACGCCACACACACAACACAAGCGCATTCGACGATTGGAGGAGTGTTGAAGTTCTATTTTCGCGTGCAAATGCGCTCGACGTAGCCAGTGTACGCTGCGTACGTTGTATGTAAATACAGCGAAACGATTCGGAAAAGAAGCAGAAATCATAATACGCGATGGGTCGTCACTGAAGCGCGTCCCGCCGGATCGGCAGGAAATCGTCGCGCGCCCGAACCTTGAATTAATTAATTGATTTTGTTGTGCGCGCGCTGAGAAAACAAAAACTATCACCGCGGCGCTGAGTTTGGAATTTGCCGCAACAGCTGTAGTGAAGTGCGCGTGGGCGTGCGCAGGTTTTGTCACAAATTTTATCGCCGATTACCGAGTTGTATTGATGATAACAGGTGATTTTATTATTATGCATGTATATATTTTCAACATCTTTTCATTCGCATTAATTAGCTAGTAAAAAAACACACACTATCTGAAAAATGTTTGTAATATGCGTGAATTTATGAATGATAAATATTAATTTGTATTTTGTTGTGTTTGAAAATAGCTGAAATTTGCATTATGCGACGCGATAAGAATAATATTTGCTTGTAGCTTTGTTCGGCTATTACATAAACTTGAATTTTTTCGAAAACAATTTGTTAAAGCGCGGACGTAAAAAGGGGCTGTGCTGCCTTTTGGCGGTGGCGGCACAGAGTGATTTGTGTAAATTATCGGTGGTGAAAGAGGACGGGGTCGACTTCCGCGGCGCTTTTCGCTGGGTTTTTTTTAAGCTGCGCTTTTAATTAAAAAACTTTCCTCATAAATAAAACGAGCTAAAAAAGTGTTGCGCTTGCAGTGTTCAAACAACGACGCGAGACGTCTCTAAGCGAATAAAGCAAATCTAATTGATGAATTTCAATGTATTTTTTGCACAGATGAAGAAGAACGTGGTGTCAGACATTTAGTTCGACATAATACTAGTGATTTATTTAGTTAAACAAACGTAAACACAGAATTATCGGGTGTAATTCTCATTTTTCTGCTGGAATTTCAAAAATTACATAACCTATAAAATTGAATGTTACGCATGCGCAATCGGTGTAAGGAAACAAATTTTCCACTCTTCGTGAATGAAATATGATACAAAATACTAAAAATTTACTTGACGAAGTTCGCATTCGATATAAATACCCGTTTATAGTGTGTTGTGTTTGCCAGTTTACCAAGGACGCGCTTTGTGTGTCATGAATTATGCGCCGTTTACCACTTTGATTCGCGATATTAACCGAAAAACAAGACAATGCAACAATTTGAAAACTTATAAAATGTAAATTTCATGTAGAAAGTCGATGTGGGTACTTACTCTAGGTGCTCGTAGCATGAGTGAACGCATGACCCACGTTCACGATTTTGACGGAATGAATAGCGCACGATTCGAAACCTAACCTAAACTAGCAAAATTCGATGCAGTGCAATGCAATGCAACGAAATGGAATCGGACTGAATTAATGATCAATCGGCTCGCCCGGAATATTGCACGTGTAGATGCTTTTGTGCAGCGTCCGCGAAAACCTGTAGCACTCGATTCCAATCAACCGAAATGCGGCTAATGAACGCTGTGGATTAAAAATATTAGTCGCACTGGCAAACAAAACAGCGTGTGCGCGCACTCAAACACTCCGCTTGTCAATTATAAGTTTTCAATTTGTAATAACCTAGAAAATTGGTCTGTTTGCCAGCGCCACCTATGATGTTTTATTTGAACTGAAAATTATGATTCGATGATTTAAAAATAAATACTGACTTTGGTAGCAAATATGCGTTATTCAGTTAGTCATAGAATGTTGAACGAAAGTTACAACACGGGTTGTGACTCGCGATGCAAGCGATATCACCTTCACTATATGCTATACAACTGTTTTAAACGTAAAACGTATTACTTTCTATTGTCTAACGTGTAAAAGCAAAAATTAACCGTTGGTGGATTTTCTTTGTTGCAGTACACAATGTCGATTGAGATAAAAGGAGAAACCTTCGCGAATCTCGAGAGTCAACAACAAAACGCCGAAATGGGTGCGTCCGGCACGAAGCAACTTTACAATGGGATCCCCCCAGGTTTACAAGACGATGCAACGGAGGCGCTGCACATCGTCAGCGAGACGCTGGACGACATCGTCAATGCTGTCACCAAACGCGCGCTTGACAATTCTTTAGATAATGAAAACGACAACAGTACAAACGCAAACGATTCTAAACTCATTCCCTACAAGGAGCCACAATCAAACGACGATCTGCTTTTGGGCAGCGTGGATGGCGAAGACTCCGCTACCGAAAGCCTGCCCGTTGAAGAGACCTGTATCGAGGAACCGCATGATCGCAGTGATGGTTCCGATTCCGGTCTCGGGTTGGAATTGTGCGATGAACGCCCCAATAGTGATTCTAATACGGTCACCAACTCGACGCTTGGTGAAAGTGACAGTGAGACATCCTTCCTTGATAGGTTGGACCCATCAGATCCCGTCGAGGATAAAACTGATGATTTATTACTGAAAGCGAAGAATATCGGAGATGATATCAGCGCTATTCTGGATGAGGCGAAGGTAAAGGTACCTGTGCCCATCATGCCGATCAAGAGTAGTTTAAAGCGGAAGCTGCATGTTGATGTTGATCAGCCAACTGATGCTGTAGATGGTGCTCCCAAGTGCAAGAAGAAGCGCGGGATTACTTTCGACAGTGTTACAGTGTTTTATTTTCCTAGGGCGCAGGGTTTTACTTGCGTCCCTTCTCAAGGTGGATCCACTCTCGGAATGGGTGCGCAGCACTCGTATTCTAAGAAGTTTTCCATTGCTGAACATGCGTTGGAACAGAGGAGGATCCACCGGCAGTTGTTGCAACAATTGAGGTCAGAGAGACAAGTCACCACAGGTGCTGGTATGGGTTCGTCAAGTGACGATAGTGATTCAGAAGAGGAACCTTCGGATGTGTCCGAATCGGAGTTGGATTTGGACAATTATTACTTTCTACAACCTGTGCCAACTCGTCAACGCAGGGCATTATTGAGAGCTGCAGGTGTGCGCAAGATTGACTCCATGGAGAAGGACGAATGCAGAGATATTAGGACTTCCAGGGAGTTTTGTGGATGTGGATGCAAAGGATATTGTGATCCAGACACGTGTTCCTGCAGTCAAGCGGGGATCAAATGTCAAGTGGACAGATTAAACTTTCCGTGTGGATGTTCACGTGATAATTGCGGGAACTCCAGCGGGCGAATTGAGTTCAACCCTGTGAGGGTGCGCACGCACTTTATACATACCCTCATGAGGTTGGAGTTGGAAAAGAAGCAGAAGTCCGAAGAGGAGGCCGAGAATAAGAAGTGGATGGAGAGCGAGCGGTTGGCTACGCCGTATTGTGCGTCTACGAGTGGGCGGAGTGGACCAAAAGATCCGAATGAGCCGAAGGCACATTCATCGCAGCATCAACACCACCAACACCAGCACCCGCATCAAAAGTATTTAAATCCGCATGGAGATGCCGTAGATGGTGGTGTTCACGATGGCGGATTTACTAATCTACATTATGGAGCTCCTGGCGAATGTCCTGGACCCGGCGTCAATTGTCTACCGCATCCCTCATCTGGTTTTGCAAACTTGCCCACGCGGGAAGACTCCTTGGACCTGTACACCTTCAGAGAAGACTGCTACCAAGACAAGCAACAGCAACATTTTCCTGTACCCACACCACCGGCAAACTTTCATTTTGGTCAAACCTCGACCGAGCAGAGATTTACCAGTGAGGTTGGTTTTCCGTACCATGGTCATCATCATCAGCATCTTCTCTCTGGGCAAGCGCAACACCAACATCAACAACACCAGCATCAAACACCTCAAACTGGAAGCTATCCGGTGTTTAATGATTTTAATACTGTACCGGTTTTCAATCCTTACGGCCACTATCAACCTGAGTTTACCACCAATGCACAACAACTACCAGCAACCAGCAGCAACTCAGGGAAGTGTCTTGACCTAATGACGAAACCCTCAGAGACCAATTTCGGCAACTTCGAACCCGAACAACAGCAATACACCAATTTGAGCACGGTCGGTGCGAACAACAAGTCGATCGAGTCCTTCTCCGACCTGCTAAACGCGCGCTACGCTGGCGCAAGCGCAGTAAGCGGTTATCCCGCCTACGAAGACTTTAATCACATCCAAGAGGCGACGCCAACCCTTACCGAAAGCATCAAGGACGATCATGCCTCCACCAGTAATGATGTTAATGTTACGAGTGAGAACGAAAACGAGAACGACAATTTCGGCGAGATTATTAAGAAATCAATCGTCGAAACGGTGTCGGCGTAAAAACTTATATACAATGATAATGAAAATTTACAATGTGTCGCGCATGCGCAATGAAGTTTTAATGGCGATTATTGTACATAACCAATCTTAACCGAACCTAACCAAGAAATGTCAATTTTTATTTTAGGCATGTGCGTTTACTTTTTCGACACATTGCAGGCAACCACCATCAAATGTTTTGTAAGATATTAACTATAATCATAAATGAAAACAAGTACGTTAATTAAATTGTAAAATGACGGACATTCGCCGATTGCAGAGCAAAGGATACGCGTTTCATCTTTTATCTATTTGTATATTGAGATATCATTTTTATTGCAATATTGAAACGAAATGAATTATTGTTTGTTTTCTGTTGAAAGCGCGGATTCTTTGCGTCGCGCCATAAGATAAAATTAAACATATACAAGAAGTAATAAAGTCCGTCACTAAACTAATAAATTAAACAAATATATAAACAATTACTAACTATGAGGATACTTAAACAATTATTATTATATTTATAAACGACTAATTATTGAATAATATATATGAGATTCTTATTAGATGATGATGGAAATGAAGACCGCGGAAATGTTTCGAGTTGAGGTGGCGAAGAGAGTTTGCAGAGAGTGCTAAATGAAGCAAAAGCAACAAATAATACGTTCCAATATTATTATTATATGAATAACTATTATTATATTATGAATTGATTATGAAATATTATAATATTATTATTTATTATTATGTAAATTGAATTTATATATTAAAATGAAGAAAACGTAGGCAAAATACTACATACTAGAGCAAAAAACAGAAAATGAAAATGTTTTAATAAATGTTGTGAAAAGAAAGCATTGCTTTTGCATAAAACACTCTGTACACAGATCACGAACATCAAGGAGAAGACGAACAGCGTCAGGAAACTTTGCTCTGCAGCTGTATTTCTGAATCTAGAGCATGCCGCTCATAAAATTGCGTTGTATACAACCGAACACACGAAATTATAGAAACAGTGGCAGGAACGTTATGCCATTATGTTTTATGTCGGATTATTTTTGTTTTTACATTGCAACGCCATCTAAACTTTAATTTTAGAGTTACATGTTTGATTTTATATTTTGTTTCATAAAAATTTAACTGTCACCGCGTTATTTCGCTGTATCATTTACAATTTTTTTCAAATGGTGGTCCAAAGCAGAACCCTTGAAGAGGATGCGAAACAATGGCGGAAAACCTCTATAGTTCATCCGCGGAACAATATAATAATAAAAAAAGTGCGGAAGGTTTTCGTGCCAAGCTACGAAAAAGTATTAAGTATTATCAATTGAAATAAATTCAGTTTTTACTAATTATTTTAAATCATTTCAAGGAGTATGAAACAAATATGTATAAATTATTATCGTACGCTTATCAGCGCGAATGGGAGAAAGAAAGAAACGATGATTTTCGTATCACAGCCGCGAAGAATTCCACGCCTGAACACGAAATACTGCACAGGAAAGTGTTCAAGAAGAAGAGCTACTACACTGGAAAGAAACCACTACCGATTATTACGTTAAAAAGGTAATTATTGCATACGCGAGTGTAATTATGTGTTTAATGTTGGATGTAAATGCAAATGTTTGAACTGAAGCCTGAAACAATGTAAGAATGCCGCTTTCCGCAGTCCGGTGGCCATTAATACTTGAGCAGACGCTGCTCGTTTATTATTCAGATTCGCGAACGTTTTGGGCAAAGTGGATACGAACCTGGGCCGGCCGCACACGGAGGAATGATATTTAATTAGGGTGCGCTCATTTATTATGCCATCACCGCGAGGGGGATACACTTTGGCACGAAGTACACCTACTACCACCTACACGAAGAGCGAGCGTGCACGTTCTGAGACGCGCGCGGAATATCAATAATCTTTACGAACGTGAGGCATGGTAATAAACATATACGATGTACGAGATGGCACAAATGCGTGTGTTATTTGTAGTTGTATAAACGAGTGAATTAAATTTGCGCATGCGCAGCTAGTGAATCAAATTTATCTAATGTTAATGCATACTAATTGAAATTTAAGTTTAAATTTATATCATGTGAATTCAAAACTAAGCGCCTTCTGTGCGGAGGAAGTTTCCTTCGTGTTGTAATGCAGCGTTGGTAAACTTTGTAGAGCAAACATGAATTTGGGTGTATGCGACAGTTCGCCGCGCGACTTTTCTCCGCGGTCAATTCTCCACCAGATATTGTTTTTTTTTTTGCGTGGAATTAGATAAAGTCAATGTAAATAGATAATAACTACTATTGGGGTAGTGACGGGATGCAAATCACATAAGATGAGGTAGTTTATGATAAAGTAGTAGTTCATTCACATATTCTTTACATTTATTATTTTAAATAAATTTTGCCTAACATTTCAATCGCGAAATGAGATAAAGTGGACATGTGTTGATAAAATGCGCTGCCATGGCCCATGTTTACAAAACATTGCAACAACGATATGATCGCGGGAATATTTTAATTTATAACGGACATTCTAGCGACATCTCGGAAAGATTTTAAGAGTTCAGTTTGAAATCGTCTGCTAGTGTTATTGAATCGGGCCACGAAGTATAGATAAAAGGAGTCCGAACGGTATAGGCTTTTTCGTCGTAGTCATGGTTCACAATTATATACAAAGCTAATAGTTCACCTTTCTGCCACTGGGTGCGCTTGAATCACTAGTGAATCGATGTACGTTGGTTCGTGTTCATAGCAACATTGAGACAATTTGTTTACATGACGTTCCTGTGTTTAGATACTTCGTGATTATTATTACACGTGAACACGTGCTGGTTTGTGAATGTTTAATTGAATTCAATTAAATTTAAAAATACATTTTTTAATAATGCGAGGACATTTTCTAGCCAAATGTTTCAACAAATGTGCTACCGAGAGGACAGTTAAAACTAAAAAATGCCGGAAGCTATCTAAATTATATTAATAAAAATTAAAGCAATTTGTATTTATTTACTTAATTTATTTATAAACCTTTTCTTTGCATTCTTCTTTTTTTTTATTTTTGAATAAAATGGTGTGGTTCCTGATATTTTTTTTATGGTTATTAATTAATATCTGATTTTTTTTTTGCTTTTCAGATTATCTCGGTATCTATACTTCGTGTCACGGATTATCCATAGTTTCATGTTGAATTTTTTTCCGGCGGTGTCCATAGTAAAGTATTTAAACGCGTACACTAACGCATAGTGGCGCGCTCTATTGGGGAATGTTTGGTCCCCTAGATCGTGACCATTAATTTAACATGACGTTCGGACTCCTTTTATCTATACTTCGTGAATCGGGCATTTGATAAGTATCGTGAATAGAATTGAATGGCGAAGTAAGCGTGTACCTGTAATCGCTCGCAAGGATACGAATTCCAATCAGCAGCATTATTAAATTAAACACCAGAAATTAAACATACATACTATATAGTAATGGATTATATATTACACATACATATATATTACACATAATATCTGTTAATAAACTATAAAAATATGAATTATTTAAATATGTTTTACTTTTATGATTTTATTCTAGCATAAAATAAGATAAAGTCAATACAAATTGAAAAAATGCGCTGCTGCGATAACTAATGTGTATGTTTACAATACTTTACAACAATGATATGTTAAAAACGCGAGAAGATTTTTAGTCGAATAGGACATCTTAGCGACAGCTCGGAATGACCTTAAAAGTATAATTTGAATTCGACTCTTTGTTTATTGAATCGTTCATGGTTGTGATGTGTGAGTGAATGTACTGAATGACAGAAACTATAAAAATTCTGTTATGCTGATTATAGATCAATGAACTAATTTACTTAATTTGAGTTTTTTATCGCCATATTATAGTTTAAAGGATTCTCTACACTATCCTTATTTTTCAATCGTTCTAAACCCCTAGAAAATGCCTTAAAATGTACTATTACTAATCAAAAAAATTAACGTTTTTGCAGTTTCTCAGCCTCCAATTGTCTATCAAGAGACTCTATCCAAGATGCGTATTTATAAAACCCTTAAAACCCTTTTGAAGTGCCCTAAAATATCGTTCTAAAGTTAGCACTTCTCAAAAAAATTTAAAGCATGTTGTACCATTCTGCTATTCTGTATCACACCAAAATAATTCGAGTGTCTTTGATTTAAAATTTCAGAACTTAAAATTTCTTATTTCTATGAAAACATTGATTTGTGTAGCATAATTGCAGCAATGCTTTGTCAGTAAGCCAAAATAGCTCAGTTGGAAGAGCGTTAGACCGAAGATCTAAAGGTCCTTGGTTCAATCCCTGGTTTCGGCACGTTGCTCTTGTCACATGTTCACTGTAATACTAGACAATTTTGTTTTTATTGTGGTCTGCAAAATAACACCCAGTATCTCCCGAACTATATGATTTCTTATAGTTTCTCACTGCTATGGTAAAGTTCGAGATTACCTCTACACGATGCATACCTTGTCAATCTTCTAGCTCTTTTAGAAGTGCCCCAAAACTCCTTTTAAAAATTTACATATTTCAAAAATATTAAAATTAAAATGCAAAGCGTAAAACATCCTGTATCTCGCAAACTAATTGAACTTTTTAAAGTATGTCACGGCAATTTTAAAGTTCGAAAGAATCCCTATACAACGCATTAGTTTTCAATCTTCTAACCCTTGCGGAAGTGCGCTTATATGTCCTTTAAAAATTGGCATTTTTCAATAAAATTGAAAACTTGGTGTGGAAAACACCTTGTATCTCGCGAACTAATTGACTTTTTTGAAGTTTGTCACCGCTATTTAAAGTTCGAAAGTCTCTCTATACGATGCATACTCTTTTGATATTCGAGCTCTTCTGGAAGTGCCTTTGAATGCCCTTTAAAAATAGGCATTTAAAAAAGAAATTGAAAACATGGTGTAGAAAACACCCTGTATCTGGAGAACTATATGACCTTTTTGTAGTTTCTTATCGCCATATTAAAGTTCGAAAGTCTCTCTACACCATGCATACTATTTCAATTTTCTAGCCCTTTAGGAAGTGCCCTAAAATGCCTTTCAAAAATTGGGATTTTTCAAAATGATTGAAAACATGGTGTGAAAAACACCCTGTATCTCGAGAACTATTTGATTTTTTTGAAGTTTTTTACGGCCATCTTAAAGTTCGGGAGTCTCTCTATGCGATCCATATTTTTTCAACCCTCTAATCCTTTCAGAAGTGCCCTAAAAATCACTTCAAAAATCAAGTGATGAAAATAGCCATTTTGGTCCCAAAAATTTAATTTTTTAGTCGCACTTCAGTTTTTCGAACTTATCTTGGAAACCATTAGAGATAGAGAAAAACGGTTTTCATTTTTGTATGTAGAAATACAATTTACATTATATATCATGTTAAAATTTTCAGTTATCAACACTTATGTAATAATTAAAAATAGTCAGTAACTTATAAACTAATTAAGATAGCGCAACCAAATCTGGATTAATGAATTCCTGGCATTGTTTTACATCTGTTTGGAAAGTTTGAGGATAATTGGAGAAGTAGTTTTATTTGATCAGTTTAGACTTTACCACCTATTTTCCGAAATAATGATGTTATAGGAAAACTGACTTGATATCTTTCATCCCCTTGGAAAACTCAATCTATTAGCGTTTTCCATTTTCTTCTAGCTTCAAAAACTTTTTTTGAGTCCAAAAAGAGTCAAGTGTAACCTCTTGATGTTTTTGAGAGGTATTTCGTTAACTTTGGAAAATGGAAAAACTGAATCTGCTATTTTATAGATCCATATCAGGGCATGAACAAAATGAAGAAAGTTCTTTTCTATCTTTATTATTTTCCGAGAAAATCGCAGCGGAAAATTTTTTAAGCACATGTTATATTTCAAATTTTTTAAATGTTATCTCATCTAGGATTTGATGCTGAACATCGGGGTGCTTGTGGTTTTTGTTTATCTCTATTAGTTCCTGAGATAATTGATCCTTAAATATTCCTTACTGCTATTAGATGAAATGTTGTTTAAATTGTATCATTAACAGCTCTTCTACACAATGAGGTAGCTTTCTATATTTAATTAAACAACTCTTTTACCTGTCAGGCGCCTCCGCCAATTTTTTCATAATTAATAACTTTATTAAATTTAAAATAAACTTACTGTTTTATCATTCAGGAATTCAAAATTTCAATTTTTTAATTTAATGTTTCGACTGGAAAATTTTAATTAAAGAAGTTCGACTCTGTCGTTCGAGGGAACAAAATATGAAAAAGTTCAACCCTGTTCTTTGACAGAAAAAAATTTAACAAAAAAGTTCGACCCTGTTGTTTGACCAAAAATATTTTAAAAAGTAAGTTTGACCCTGTTCTTCGACCAAAAAAAAATTAACAAAAAAGTTTGACCCTGTTCGATCAAAAAATGAAATTTTTGGGACAAAAATGGCTATTTTCTAAGTGCTTTTTATGGGACTTCTGGAAGGGTTAGGGGGTTGGAAAAATATGGATCACGTAGAGAGACTTTCAAACTTTAAGATGGCGGGAAAAAACTTCAAGAAAATCAAATAGTTCTCGAGATACAGGGTGTTTTTCACACCATGTTTTCAATCTTTTGAAAAATGCCAATTTTTGAAAGGTATTTCAGGGCACTTCCGAAAGAGCTAGAAAATTTAAATGGTATGCATCGTGTAGAGAGGCTTTCGAACTTTAACATGGCGATAAGAAACTAGAAAAAAGTCAAATAGTTCTGGAGATACAGGGTGTTTTTTACACCATGTTTTCAACTTTTTTTAAAATGCTAATTTTTAAAGGGATTTCAGGGCACTTCCGGAAGAGCTAGAAGATCGAAAAGGTGTGCATAGTGTAGGGAGACTTCCGAACTTTAAAATAGCAGTGACAAACCTTTGAGAAGTCAATTCTGAACTCGATAGCGTTTTCAGTTTGTGATTATCCTTACTAGTTTCCGAGATAGATATCAAACTATAATAAACATAATCATAGATATATCTTTTTCTTGAAAGGTTTGTGGGAATAAATAAGGTAGCAGTAAATTAAAACAAAATAATTTAATATTTTATTCTTAAATATAAACATATTTGGAGAACAGCTGAAAACTCAATTACTCCTAATTAAATCAATAACAAGTATCAATTGCAGAGAATAGACATTTTATTAACATTTCAACAACAGTTTTTGCCATGTAGGAAAATAAATCAATTCCAACAAAGTTAAAAACAAACATAAATTACATTAATTCCGTATGTTTCATCACCCAACTCGATCCTTTTCATTTTTGACTGACGATTGAAATTTGGTTGCACCAATTCATGTGTGTGGTTGTGTATAAAATGATTATTTAATCAAGCAAAAAAAAAAGAACACGCATTCCACAGAAAAAAAAGAAAAAATTCAAATTTAACCCCCAGAGCAAATCGAAGTGATTTGACAATCAAAACCCTCAACTGCTGCCGAAACATCCGACCGACGCCCGGACGGCTTTCCTTCACCTCCAACACGAGAATTTTCGCTCGAAACGAGTATTTGCGAAATTACCACCGCGCGCCTCTCGATTAAAAGTCTATTCGCAAGTTTTTTTACGTTTTGCGTATTTTTTTGTGTTTTTTTTTCGGTCCGGTATAAAGTATGTACCTGCCTTTCCCCGATTCGAGAAAAGAGTATTTTGTTGTCGAAAAATGAGAGGTGTTGCAACATTTTTTTGTTCACACCGATCCAAAGTTAGTTAGTCGAAACTCTAAACCGTTGCATTTTCTTTGTGTTTTTTTTTTATGTTTTGGTTATAAGAAATCAATCGCAGCTAGACATAAGGTCGTCACAAGACATTTCAAAGACGTTACAGATACAAAATTCCGCGCGAGACGAGAGCGAAAATCAAATCGGATGCGGACGAATTGGCGCGTCACGACGAGAGATTGCGTTTCGTGTACAAATTATCATTACAGTTTACGTCACATTTTTTTAGAAAAGTTCCATCGTTACGAAATATATATCATATGTGTATATAAAAAGTATCAAAAATGTTCAAGTTTTCCATTCGAGCGCCGCCAGATGAGAAACTGATGGCATCGAAGTCAAAACACGGCTTTGACCGAAACAATGGATCATTTTTATAAAAATACGCGATTCTACGAGTAAGCCGAGCTTGCTATGATTTTTTTTCAAAGTTTTAATTTTAGAGTAGTAGTTATTACCCCCCGCGTTTGAAATGCCTTTGTCTGCTTGTTTATATTATTAAAACTCACGCACTAATAAGTTGTTGTATTAAACATTATGCTGATTATAGTTATGCTTTTTTGTGTTTTCTTTGTGTTGTTATGCCTGTGTACTGTGTGTTGTTGATGTTGTAGGGCACAGCAGCTTAAGCTGTGCTCTCTGTGGTGGTATTTTGCACAGGCTGGCTTTCCTGGAAACACAAATACAATTTGCGTGAATGTTAAAGCAAATATACATTAAACATAATGTCAAAAACGTGCTACCATGCTACCACAGAGAAAATGTGATGAAAATCAAGGTAACTAACACAAGATACTTACTTCAGCCTTAACTTGTCCATTCGCATTATCAGCCTACAAATAAACAGAAAAAGAAAGAATCAAGTATAAGGAGTACTACAATAATTTTAAAACATGCGAAGATGTCATGCGTCGTGCAGTGTATTCAAGATTAAATGGATTTAAATAATGTTTACCTTTGGTTTGGGGGCAGAATCAGACTGTGAGTTTTCGCCGCGAGTACGTCCAGCGCCGCGCCTGCGGAAGCGGGTACGCGGAGGTCCACGGGGTCCCTCTTCACCACTTTGTTCTGCCTGGCCGTCCTGCGAGCGTGGTCGTCTACCGCCTCCGCGGCCACCACGATAGTTTCTGCGGAAGAAGCGCCTTGCTGGTCCACCGCGACCGCGCGCATTCTCGCCGTCTCCGCCGTGCTCCTCATCGGGGCCGCCACCTCCGCCACCCGGTCCGCCGCGGTATGGCCCGCGGTAGTAACCGCCATAGCCACCGCCGCGACCACCTCCTCTACGTGGGCGGAAGCGCCTTGCCGGGCCGCTCTCTTGCCCGTCACCGCCGGAGCCAGAGCCCTCTTTGCCCTCGCCGCCGACGTAGTCTACAGACAACGCAACAAATTATAAAACTTAGTCATGCGCGACATGTATTCATGAAGGTGTGCACGTACCATGTTCACCGTGTTCGCCTTGGTCCCTCGGGCGGCCTTGTCCTCTGCCGCGAGAGCCGCGACCACGCGGATAATACCATTGGCGATATCCGCGCCGGCGGTCGGCTGCGTATGGGGAGCCGCGCACTGCCTCGCCGTCCGGGCCCGTCACGTTCGCGGCCTCGTTGCCCTTCTCGCCAACGACGACGTTGAACTCTACGATCTCCCCATCACCGACTGAACGCACCGCTTTCCTAGGGTTGTTCTTGGCAATTGCCGACTGCAAAGACAAGTGCCGATACAAACTGGATCTAATTGGATATTCTAAATACAATTGGACTTAAAAAGATTTGTTCCCCGACAGCCAGCCTTTGAAATCACATCAAGAAGTGAAATCATCGTGAAACACGACGGCTAACCATCGGAGTTACCATGATCTTGCACACTTATGACTCAAGCATTTCCTATGATTTTCGGAAATGGATCTAAGGAGCGTGCAGTTACACAAATGTTCACAATCAGCAAAATTTTAGGCCAAAACTAAGCCGAAAACAACTGATAACACAATTTAATATTGCAAACCTAATAAATTATTATCAACTAATAAACATCTCAGCAATATATTTACTCTAATTATACTGTTTGTGCGAAGTTATATATGCACAAGATATTTATTTGCAAAGAGATAAAACAAACTTACTTGATGTACGAAAACATCCTCCTTGGTGTCATTTCTATAAACAAAAAAAAAACAAATTAATTGGGCCAAATAAACAATTTGTTATAAATATCATTACCTGTTGATAAACCCATATCCACTCTTAACGTTAAACCATTTCACCGTGCCGGTAACCTTGCTTGCTGCAAATAGAATTTATTCAAATATTATTATGAACACGATGTTTTCCTATAGGAAATAACAAAATGCGTATTGAACAAACGTCTAGATGGCTGCTGTCAGCCTGAAAGGAAAATTAAGGCAGCCATGAAACAATGGAAGCCATTTTGTTTGTTTGTAAACAAGCAAACCACGAGAAAAAAAATCGAGCGTGGCATGAGAAAAAAAACGTGTTTTTCACATTTCCACTGACCGCGTTTGACTGGACTGGATGGGCGTGAGGCGTTATGAGATGATACAAATAAACTCATCTACGCACGCATCTATGCCGCAATGTAAAAATAGAAAACGCGTAGGTTTCGAAAATTAAACTAGGAAGTCGACGCAGCGTGCACACATTTTTCTCTATTCCAATGTCTATACAAAAATATGCACATTTTAAGCTAAACTCTGCGCACATGCAGTGATCTGCTTCTGCATGATAAATTTATAAAAAAAGCAATGCATTATTTTACTACAAAATGAATGGCCGCCGATGCAGCATACCAAGCGTGACGCCGCCGATCGCTGTATTCCAGCACGTTCGGCAATATCAAGCTTCTCTATGATAACACGCGGCATCATTTTCTTAACGCCAACACAACTAGCGATTATTCGTGGACAATAATCACGTTTTGCAGGCGTTATTTAAATATAAATGCAGCCATGTGCTTTGAAAGAAAATGGACGTCAGACGAAGCATCGCCGGCGATGCCGCCGAACGGCATAACAAATGTACAAACGCAATGCGCGTTTCGAAAATCAAGCAAAAATTGCACTCACCGATGACTTGCTTCTGCACGGTCGCCTTTGCTTCTTGTTGGGGCGCCTGTTCCGGTTCAGCCATGGTGTTAAGGGCCGGTGGAAAGATGTTATAACTCCGCTACCTCCTAGATGTTAACTTCCGTCCTGTCGTTTCAGTTGTTGACCACACTACGACGTTTCGCCGGCCTTTATTAATCCACCTTAGCGACGATCAAGGCGTGCGCGTACGTCAAGCCCTCTATCCTTTTCTATTCCATAACAAACCGAGCGAAACAGAGCGACATGGAAAAAACTGACGCGCGCATGGTTTTCGACGGTGGCGCACTCTACATCCCGGAATTCGACGAATCCATAGCCGCGAAATTCAAACAATGCAAACAAAATGTTTATATTTCTACGTGTCTCAAGTTTCACGTTCTCTATTCAAATTCGACAGTAAAATAGCGAGAAACATAATTTTCAATTACAATTATTAGAATAACATTGTATATAAGAGAGTATGCATCTGCAAGCATGAGTAATTACGAATATCACATTTTCCAAGTGTATAACGCTACAAATATATTATAAAAATTTATCTAGTTTGTTTTGTAATTAAACATGCTAGCGTCACATATCACAAAATTTTATAATTACATTTCGATAACTCGACAAACGCTTAACTTTAAATTTTAAGTGCGGCGTTTTCCTCGTAGCTGAGGGCGTTTACCAGGTGCGGATGCGCCAGAACCGATGCTGAACATGCCCGGTTGTTGCGGAGAGCTAGCGCCAAAAGCCGCACCGAAATTAGTAGGTACTGCTGGAGCAGCAGCGCCGGAAAAGTTAAATCCGCCCGCGGCTGGTTTAGTCTCCGGCCCACCAAACGCAAAAACGGGTTTACCAGATGAAGGAGTTGCACCGAAAGCAGGCTGAGTATTGGGGACTGAACCGAAACCGGATGTGTTACTAGTGGAACCAAAAGCAAAAGAAGTGTTATTCGCTGCTGGTGGAGCAGCCGCACCGAAAGAATTGAAATTCGATGTTTGCGCAGCCGCAGTTTGACCGAAAGCAAAGCCAAATGATGAATTATTCGCTGGTGGAGACGATGCTCCGAAAGCTGGGGTGGGTTGAGATGCCGGAGCACCAAAAGCAGTAGTTGTGGAGGAGGATGCGGAAGGAGCACCAAAAGCTGAAGTTGCGGATTTTCCGAATGGATTGACATTGGGCGCGGAACCAAAACCAGATGATTGTGTCGTGGCCGGTGAGCCAAAAGTGTTTCCCGAAGCGCCAAAACCCGAAGATCCAAATGCTGGTGTTGTTGTAGCTGGAGCGGCCGCTCCGAATCCAAAAGAGTTGGTTGTGGTCGGTGCTGAAGTCTGTCCGAAACTGAAGACTGGCCCACTTGTTGCTCCACCTGAACATAAAAAACAAATAAAATAACAAACCACAATAAAGCTGGGTATTAATTATTACTTTGTCCAAATGTTGATCCAGTTGCTGATGGCGGTGCGGTGCTAGGCGAGCTGAATCCAAATCCGCCAGTACTCGAAGTTGCTCCAAAACCAGTACTCGCTGGTTTGCTTGTTGCATTTCCACCGAAACCAAATACTGGAGCGTTGGCAGTGGTTGTAGGTGCACCAAATGCAGACGGAGCTGTTGTTGCCCCGGCATTCGATGTACTTCCAAATGTTGGTTGGGTAGAGCCAAAGCTAGGTGCGGGCGTACTACCAAAGCTTGTCCCAGCTGCTGGTGTGGTTGCAGTCGATCCAAACCCAAATCCTGGAGCTGTACTCGAAGTTGTACTGCTACCAAATGCACCACCGGCAGTGGTAGTGGTTGCAACGCTCGCAGCGTATGATGGAGGAGGAGCGTTGGTGGCGTTAGAAGCTCCGAATGAAAATTTACCACCTGCAGAACTTGTAGTACCAGTAATACTACCAAAAGTTGATTTTTGTACAGTACCAGTAGTGGCACCAAATGCTGATGGTTGTTGACCAGTTGTACTGGCAGCACTATCAAATGCAGCTGGTTGTGTAGTAGTGGTAAATCCACCAAAAGTCGGTACAGTGGTGCTAGCAGCTGGTGTACTACCAAAACTAGGTGCTGCTGTAGTTACTGAAGGCGCGCTCGTACCAAAAACAGATGCGAATGGTTTCACAGTTGTTGCTGGTGAAGCAGTTAAAGATGCCGGTGTGGCAAGCATTCCAAATCCGGTTGAAGCAGTAGTTACAGCAGAAGAACTAGCCCCAAAAGAAGAACCAAAACTAGGCGCTGAACTTGTTGGTTTGTCTGCATTATTTGCATTCCCACCAAATATCGAAGCGGAAAACCCACTTGTCGATGTAGTTGTAGTTGTTCCTGTACTTCCAAAAATATTCCCGCTGGAAATACCAGCCGCCGGTTTGATTTCTTCCGATGGTTTGAAGGAAAATCCACCAGTGGTGGTCGTAGTTGGTCCGGTATCAAATGTAATATTTTTGGGAGCAGAGTTTGTAGTAGCAGTTCCTGTGGCAGTAGAATTAAGACCAAACGCAGTCGCAAAACTAACGCTTTCAACCTTTCCCGGTCCGAATAGGCTTTTACCAGTTGCACCAAATGCAATTGGAGGGTTTGATGAGTTCGAAGCAGCTATTGAACTATTCGGAGACGCTATAGAAACAGTAGTTTTCTCTGATGTAGCAACAGGAGCGGAAAAGGCGGAAGTTTTCAATGTTGGAGCAGTAAATGCTTCGGTTGACGTTGAGGGAACGTTAGTGATACTAGGCTTCAATGTAAAAGGTGAAACACTAGTACTTGTGCTGCCTGCAGTGCCAAAACCACTACTACTACTAGATGCAGCAGTAGAAACAACAGTTTTGGGAGTATCACCGCCAAATTTAAAACCAGCCGCTGGTGGATCTTCTTTTGCCGAAGCAATATTCGTCGTTGTTGCAGTGACTGCTGTTAGGTTCGATCCAAATGCAAAACTATTACCCGAAGCGGTTGTAACCGTAGATTTAACAAGAGGTGTGGTCATAGTTGACATTGCCGACACACTCGACTTTGGAGAAGAAAAATTAAATGTGGGAGTTGATGATGAGCTGCTGGGCAAACTAGAAAAGCTCTCAATGCTGCTGCTAACACCTAATGTAGTTGCAAGCGACATTGGATTCTTAGCAGTGTCTTTCCCCACAGCTGCATTTCCACTCAAAGTTGAGAACGAGGAGGAAATCGGTGCCATGCCACTTGTGGTTGTCGATGTCACAGCGGGTGTTTTAACAAAACTTACATTCAATCCACTCGTCGAAGTAGTGACAATAGAAGAAGACGATTCTTCTTGTTTGTCATTTTCATTCCGCGGCTTAGATTCGCCGTTCACCATGAAATTGAAACCAGTGGAACTCGCACTGGATACTATACCACTTGAACTTTCAACATTCTTGATTATATTGGAACTCTGATTGGAATCAGTGACATCATTCGGTGTTTTATCCCACAGTCTTGGTACAGGAATCAACTTTGGTTCTTCACCGGTGATTCGACTCAGAACAATCGCTAATTTATTCTTTTTCTGAATGGCGTAGATCTTCTCATCCCAGGCGCGTTGAGCCGAAGCAATCGTTTCACCCGAATCGTCATTTGTTTCATTGTTATCGCAGTCTTTCTTGGTTTCAGCTTCGTTGTTCGTGGAAGACGTGGATTTCTCAGTCGTTTCAATCGTGGCGGGGACGTCATCTTGTACCGAAACGCTTTTCGTTTCGGTTGTGGTAGTGCTGGTGGTTTGAGTTTGGGTTTCGACGGACATTACTTTTTTATTTTTGTTTTCATTGCTAGGCAACCAACACTCATCTAAAGAAAACAAATTAACACAATTATCAAAGATGTTAAGGTAAATACCGTAAAATCTATACTTACACAACTTTCTTTTGTTATTTTTCAAGCAAAAACTCGAAGTATTTGATGCATAAATTGGATCAACGACGCAGATCCTCTTCGGGGCTTGTTGTGGACTAGCCGCACCGCTTTTGGGGGATAAACTTGAGTCTTCTTCGCGATTCCTCTTTGAATATTCATTGGATTTATCCTTATCTTTGTCATAATTGTCTGCACCATGAATTCGTTTTCTTGAGATCTCTTTCAGCGCGTCAAGGACACTACGCGTACTTGATTCCGCAGCCGCCTGTGTGTTGTTAACAATATTCTGGGACTCATAAGCTGTGTCCAAAGTATCATCAAACAAGCCGGGCCCATTTGAAGACAACTTTATCACACAGCTATTTTGTTTGGGAGTTATTACAGGCACTTTCTTCTGAAAGAAGTGCACCACCGGAAATAGGCCAGGCCGGCCATACTTTGCTTGATGGGTTGGTGTACTCTCCCTGGTAGGCTGCTCAATTTGTGGTGATTTATTCACTTTACTTGGTATGTAGAATGTTGAATTAGAATTGAAATGAGTGCTTGTCAGTGGACTCCTTGACTCCATAGGCTTTGACAAAGCATATCTAAAATGATAATAAGATTATACACTAATAAACTACACGAAACCTTGACTTTTTCAATGAAATGTGATCAATTTACCTTGGTGTTGAACGGAGTGGTGTAATCCTAGTTGAAGACAAGAGCGATTTGTTGCTCTTTGTTGGTGTTAGAAGATTTGTCATCGAAGTGGCCTCGAAGCGTTGGCCATTGCGTCCGATGGGACTCAACATTGGCGTGCCATTGTATCGCGAGTTATTCATTTTATTGAAGAAAATGCTCGAAAGTCAGTTGGTTAACCTCAAATAATGGCCTTGCCGCGCTCTGCGTGCGTGAGTCTATGAAGGAACCAGAAGGGTCGTCGTTGACGCTGGAGGTGTTAGTGATGCACCATGCGAGCATACGCTCGGTGTTTACACTGCGAATTTATTTAACAATTAGACGCTTGTCGTGAATTACGACACGCGACGCAACAAGCCACCAGCGAAAACATGACCACACATCCAACTGGATTTCATTGTACGCTCAAATCTACGTCAACGGTTTTTGCCGACAATGCACGAGCAACGGATGACGTTTGAAATAACGACAGGATTAGTAAAACTTTTAACGCAAAGATGGCAGGTTGAAAAAGATACAATTTTAATAAGAAAATAATAAAATTCAACAGTAGTTTAAACTGTATTTATTATAATAGTTAATAAAAATATCAATTTATTTAAATAAATATTATATTTTGTGTTTTAATGTTATGCTTACCTTAAATATACAAATTGTTTATATTTTTGCCCGATAGGTGGCGCTAGCAGTAGCATTTTTAAATTTAATATTTTGCACCGTTTAAAACCTGTTTTATTTTTACCTTAAATTAACTTGTTTTTTAATTAAACTGATTTACCTGCAAATTAAAACAGTAAACTTAGTTTAAATAAATGCACAGCCTAAGAGTAATCACGTTTATATTATGATAAACGTTGATATTTGATACCTATAACAATTCGCTTCTCTTGAATGTGATTAAACAACGTCATTAAAAGATATCTTCGTCGGTCTCATTATCACCGTGAGCACCTATCAAGAAACGCAAGCCGACGACGCATGCACGATTGTGAGCCGTGACGTCACAATTACTTTTATCGCGTTTTCGGCATATTTCGCGGCTATCTCCGGCTGTAAAACAAAACGTTTTATCAAAATGCATGCGCCACTATCGCCACATTGTTGGCTCACCTACAGTTACAACTGAAATGGCGTTGCTTTAGGTCGGGGTGCTGAAAACAAACAACATATTCTATATTTGCAAGAAAAGAAGTAAAAACGAAACATTTATCAATGGTAAGTGATTCAACTACATACTTACTAAATGTACTTACCTTAAACCTCAATGGTAACATCATAACTCATAACGATCTTGTTTATCTGTTTGTATTTACTTTGAAGCTTAAAAGACCCTACAATACATTAATGACATTATTTGATATTCGGATTATGGGTAATTTCGGAGGAGGAAAAAAGGTTAAACGAGCATGAACTTTGAGCGTGGGTAATAATGTAAATGTATAATTGCTTGTTTGTGGGCATTAAAGTAAGGTTATGTTTGTTCCAATTAAAACAGGCATTGAATTTCATTTGGTTGAACATCCACTACACGACATAACTACTCGGGTTACGCGTTTTAATCACTTATTTATTTTTTTAAATTTATTTATAGCAGAGGAAGTGGTGTGGTGTTGTGGGAGCCAAATTGGTTACACGTAGGTAAACACACAAAAACAACTTATTTTTTGGTTATATTTTTGACAATCGCGGTTTTATTATGTTTTGGTGTATATAAAGTTGCCTACAGATTGCATACATGCTAAAAGTATTCAAAGAGACATTTTTTTTAGTTTTTGGCGGTTTTGAGGTTAAATTTCAAGTTAAAATAAATTTATTTATTGTCAAGGCATTAAAATAGTTTTCAGATGATTTTAGACGGTGAATATCTTAAAAATCTTGATATTTACACCAAACTAAGATCTTTTTGATAAATTTATGTTAACAATGCGTTAGCAGTGTTACATCCACGCACTGAACTTGAAATAATGCGTCGACGCAATAAAAATCCGACGATAAGATAAAACTTCCCTTCACAGACGCTCGAATCGTAAAAATGTTGAATCTTCCTAATGCAACCGTACAGAATGTACAAGTTTATAAGTTAGTGTTTAAATATTTGAACAAAACGCCTGTTTGCTCTTATTGTGGGCTATGGGTCGAATCCCGCTGATAAGCGCATACACAACCAGCACGACCACGATGAATAACTACGAGTATATAAACTTAATACACAACATAATATATTCGATGTATTGCTGTCGGAACACAACAACACTGTGCGTTAACTTCAATTATTATCCTCCTGATTCATCCATCATCAATCTGAAGCGCGTTTTTGTGCGCGGACCAATCAGAACGAAACACTCATTTGCAAATCACGTCGCGTGAGTTGAGCCGCACCGAGCATGCTTTAGTACACCACATACACACAGTTCGTGTCGTTTCGGCGCCGAAGAGCGCACGAAGCACCAACTGAGCTTTACTCGACTTGACTCAACTCCCCTCTCGCGGCGCGCGCGCGCGCTACACAACTGAAGTCGCATTCGAATAATTCGAATCGTCGCGGCCGCAGGACATTCCCGAAACGCGGACGCGCAACGTGGAAGCGCGAAGACCATTCCACCACCGGCGGCACAACGTCAAACATCATCATCCACACATCTCAATCTACGATCTAAGTTGAAAAAAAATTAAATTTAAAAGTGTTTGATTTAAATTTGAACTGAAATCAAGTGAAACGTATTTTGTAAGTTTACAAACCGGTCGAGACATTTTGATTTTTCGCGCGCATTGAATCCTCGCGATAAGGTTTGGTTACGTCGACGACGACGACGACGACGACGGCGGCGGCGACGACGACAAGCGTGTGTATACTTATCGCATACGTTGCGCCCGAGCCGCGCACACCGATAACATGGCAACGAAACCCGATTATCAAAGAACGTATGGTGAGTAGATAAGTTTTATATACATAGATTATATTATCGTAGGTTCTCGGCTGTGCGGCCGTGTGTTTTCCTTCACAATTAGTTGCAAGGCGGATTTTCGCCAGGTCGAACGAGAGACACGCACAGCGTAATTAAAAAGTCGCTCAAGTTAATTCGACTTAAGGACGACATACGTTTAAACTGTTTTGTGCGAAAAATAAGCGATAAGCATCAGCGGCGGGCGTGTGCATTAAATAAATTATGATAATCTATGCAAGTGTTTTATATTTTTTTCGGGCTACGTTTTTTAAAATATGTGTGCTGTGTGAAACGAAATTAGTGATTCTAATGCCGTGCGTTGCGTCATTCGTCCGAAATACACGAGTAGTGTGAATGTGTGGCAACAAATTTTAATTAAATTTTTTTCGTCGTTGTCGCGCGAGGCGCAACAAAATGGCCGCGCGGCGAGCGCGTCGTTGTCGCGAGGCCGTGGAAAATCGCTGGAATATGAAAAACGCTTTGTTTGCCGCGTTGTACGCGCATGCCATACGTGAATTGAGGTCAGGAAAACCAAAGCGGAGCACAAAAATATCAAAACCCGTTTCTTTATTCTTTTTTTTTTACAATAATAAATTCCGTTGAGTTAATTCGTTTAATTTTATAAAGTATGTTGATTTATGAGTGCCACATATATTCACACACATACGCATGCGTACGGGGCGCGCTGGTAATTGAAATAGCTTTGTTGCCATGGAGATTATCGCGGTTTTATTATTTTTAATTAAAAACACACCAGCCACACACGTTATTTGCGTGCGGCGGACATCGATGCATGGTGCAAACCGCAAAAATCTCAACGCAAGTCACATGTAACGTACTTAAGCGATTATTTTATGAAGTTTATGAAGTTGAGTTGAATGGGCGTGTTTTTAGGCGGAATTGAGCGAGGAAGAGTTGCGCGTCGTCGAGTTACACGACGAGTCGGTGAAGAGATAGTTGGTGCGCAATCAGAGTCGAGGAACGGGTTAAGCACACGCCTATCTGTGGCTTAAGTCACTTGTTTAGGAGACTTGGAGTGTAACCGCCGTGTTTGTATCAAGGTTAATTTTTACAGGTGGGGAAAGGATATTTTTTGATTTATTTAAGAATTGCAGAGAAAATTGATAGTTTTGAGGTTAGATTAATGTAAAAAACGTTTTTATTAATTATCTGAATGCAATACAGGGGTAAAGTTAGGTTATCATGATGAAAATTATAATTTTTTAGGTTATGTGATGTAATTTGATCAAAGAACAATTGTTTTGGTATTTTATTCATCAAAAAGTTGTTTTTTTAAGCCAAACTTCAAAATTTCTTAAATGGCCGCCACAAAAATGAGAATTGCGCCATCTAGTGACTTAAATTGGGTTTTTACGTGTAGCAATAAAAGATTTATTGATAAATCTGCTCTAAAAATAGTTATTTCTTCTTGAAATTGATTTAATTGCGAAAAAACATTGTCAAAACACGAATTTACTAAAATGGCCGCTGTTGACATGAGTATTACGCCATCTGCTGGCAATAAATCAGCTATTTACTGATTGAAACTGCAAAAAAAATAATTTTCCACTCGAATAAAACTCTATTTACACAACAGATAAACAAAATCAACAATCAAAAACAAAACCGAATCATCCATAGTTAAACACCAGCGCCTGATAAGGGCATTATTCTTATCAGGCACAAATTTCAAGTCCATCTCTATGACTGATTATAACAATAAACAAATGAATGACTTTGGGGAAGTAATCTCGAACTTGTGCGCCATTATCACGCACTATCGCGCTTTCACTATTTCTCTACGCTCAATATTTACAAAAGATATCCAGTATCGCAACGTGCATGCCCACTGACTACGCGAACCACTTCTATGTTGCGAATCTCATTATCATTATCTCCAATATAATTCATGTAAGCATTCAATAAGATTGAAAACTTGCTCCAACGATGTGTATTGCTTTTTTGTGGTAGAAAAAAATGTTTACGACAAATGTGTCTTATCGATAAACGTCTGAGAAGGGAGCAAAGTCTCGGCGGGTGTCAATAGGTCAACATTTTAATGGCGGCCAGCGCTCGGTTTTCAGTTGATGACGATCGCTACCGCTAGCAGTAGCATTCTCAACGCCAAATATCGAATGTAATTATTATTAATATTAAAATGAACATGCAACCAGTATTCATGTACAAATATAATATTTATGCACACAGAAAAAAACTGCTTACTGAGAAATTCTACTGACGTCAATGTCATGTCAGAATCATCAGTCATGTGTCATTCCATCGACATAACCTAAGTTTACACAAAACAGAAAAAAAAAACAGAAATATTTAACTGTAAATAATGACGTAATTAATCATTATACACGTGTTTGAGACGATGGTGTGTATGCAGTGTGTTCTTTCTTAATAAGATCGAGTATTACGTTTCGTGTCGTTTGACCAGCGTGCCGATGATCGTAAAGCGTTGAGGTTATATAAACACAGCGAGGAATCAAGAGGCGATTGTTTCAGGCATTGTTCGCGCTGGCGATCGTTGCATGCATTGCGTATTCTTACGTTCAATACAACACTAAACCGCATTCTGATTAAACAAACAAACTGTGGATGATTTAGGTTTCCTCTCATCGGGAGCACAAAAATATATAGAAATTGTATAGTGTGTTGTCTACGTTACGTAATGGTAAATTTAGGTAGGCTATATAGTATTTAAGATTAAAAAAAAATTAATTTTAATGTGAATTGGACTTTAAATGTTTAAAATTACGTTTTGTGTGGCGTACTATATTCTATACATTTTTGCGAAACACTCATTTTAGTATTGGCCATGTTTACTTTTGAGGTTATTTCAATGTCAAATCTGATTTCTTCAGTGGTAGATGACACAAAGTGCTTGATATTTGTACTTTTGAGAATTATTGCAAAAATATAACTGAATTTATATCATAAAACTGAGTTGCGTTAGTTACAACATTTATAATTCATGAACGGCTGGATGGATTTGGATTATTTATGATTTGTTGGATTAATCTGTGTCCCGAAAAGCAGAATAATTATTGAAATATTAAAAATTGTGATTCAAAGGGTGCTAAATAAGGGATAATAATTAGTATAGAAAGCATAAATATACCTAAAAATATGAAAAAATTTAAAAATATATTTTTATTGAATACTAGCTTTTGCCGGCGACAGTAGTGTTTAATAAAAATGCAATTTGTTTTTACTATCTTGTTCCAGACATTGTATGTGTTAATTCTATCAATAAGATTTGCAATTTTATTTTAAAGAAATTAATTATATAAAGAATTATCAACTATTTAACTATAACTATGATTGAATCGCAATACTAACTTTTATCCCATAGAAAAGGGCTGTCTTTAGGGTTTTCCCGGCAATTATTCGAATTTTTCTCCCCGTAAAAACCATCCTTGGACTTTAACGAACATTTTAAAAGAAGAATTAACCAAATTGGTTTAGGCATTGTTGAGTTATGCGGTTACCAACAGATTTTGCGAATCATTTTTATATTATAAAATTAATTACATTTTTCTAAAAAGTCGTGGGAAAAGCTACTGTTAGATAAAACTAAAATAAAAATAAAACTCTTATTGATCTTATTGATGGCATAAACTTGTAACATATGAAAATACCTTTCATCTGTCAAACAGCAACATTTGACATTGTCCGTGGAAGATGAATGTTTGTTATTTTGTGCGCACTGCTTATAGTTCCAGTCGTAAACAGAACAATTGAGTTATTAGTTATTATATGTAACGGAACATGTCAAACATGGCCGCCGTTGGCATTCGCACAGTTTTGTTACTTTCCGTATAAGTTGAAAGCAATAAAATTATTTTGATTACTTTTTTACTCACTTGCTTGCTTGCTTCACAAGTGCTCCAAATGCTCTTTTTTGTAATTTTTGACTTGATCACTTAATGTGCTTTGAAGTGTCAAAAGGTAAAGGGCGTCGGTGTCGTCAGCACGAGTCTATGCATTTGGTAAATAAATAAATACATTCGAAGATAATTTTTATTGCTTATGACGGCGTAAAAATCTGGAGAAGAAAGAAGTGTTTTCGACAGATCGTTAAATCAAAATGTCGACGCAAGTCGATAAGGGTGTCAAAAAGGGAAAAAGTATATTAATTCTTCAGCAGGGTAATAAGTATAAGTGGATGAGGTTAGAAAAAAAGGTTAAAAGTACCAAAATTCAGAAAAAGTGAAAACATTTTAATTTTTTAGTTTTACGCCAATTGAATTACAATTTGCTTTGAGTTTTGACATATTTCGCTTCGAGGGCATCGCCAGAATGTGTTTTGTCCATTTTTGGGACGAAATATATCGAAATATGACGACAAATCAAAATAAATTGTAATTTAATTAACGTAAAATGAAATATTAAGCATAAAATGTAAATTTTAAAATTTAAATGGTAAATTTAATTTGAAATTTTCAAATTTTGAAATTTGAAGAATTTTATTCTGTAAAAATTGATATTGGCGCATGCGCATAATCATAATCCGATGAATTTCGATAAATACGCAATAAATATCAATGAAAGCGTAGCAAGTTGAGAAATAAAACCCGGCGCAGAAATATTTGCGCACACGGAACTGCATGCGACATAATCGCACATTGCAATGGGGCACGAGTTGATTGCATAACGGTGGTTGCTGGCCGTACCTAGCTACCTCATTATTGCCGGTCGTGGATGCTGTCGCGGTCACTGCCGCTGCCGGCAATAACACGCGCCGGATTGGAATTACCAATTCTGCCATTCGCCATTCTGCAATTTAACCCATTCAAATCGAGGTGGAAACGCTTGTGCTTCGCTTCCACCTGCGGCTAATGGTAACACTATTCGTTTGGTGCGTCGGTGTTTGTCATACGCTTGCTGTTTGCCACTTTGTCCGGATCGAAAATAATGAGAATAATGAGAGTGAGTGGCTGCATGTTGCATGCGTACAAGTTGTGGGAATGATGGATGGTGAAAAGACTTCCGGTTATTAGTCAAGATTTAAGAGTTTTATGTTTAGTTTTAGGTAAAAATTGAGTTTAAAAACGTAAAGTTGAGTTTTTGGTGTTGATATGCAACCCATTATACATTATTATTTATGTAATATTTGCACATAAGTGACAACCAAAAATCGTTTTTTGTCTTTTTACGCTAAGATTTGAATATTTTTTAAAAGTAATTTGTTTATAAAATGCGGAATTAATTTCTCAACGATTTAAAATATTTACCAATGCTGTGAGTTTGATATTTTCGAAGATATTCCAGTTTTAATGAAAACCGTTTTATGCATTTTATTAAAAACTTGCTTTTGCACTACCGCGGGTGTTTAATAAAATGTAATTCGTGTTTACTCTCTTGTTCTAGATATAGTATGTGTCGATTCTATTAATAAGATTCGCAATTTTATTTTAAAGAAATTAATTATATAAAGAATTGCTAATAATGCATTTCAGCGCGCCATCTCGGATTCAACTATTTAACTATAACTATGATTGAATCTCAATGCCAACTTTTATCCTATAGAAAAGAGCTGTCTTTAGGGTTTTCCCGGCAATTATTCGAATTTTTCTCGCCGAAAAAACCATCCTTGGACTTTAACGAACATTTAAAAAAAAGAATTGGCCAAATTGGTCTAGGCGTTGTTGAGTTATGCGCTTACAAACAAATTTTTCGATTAATTTTTATATTATAGATTCACTTATTTATCAAAAAATGTTAAAATTTTACCAATTGAACGCCAAAATAATAATTTTTCAAGTTTTGCAATGTTTTCTTCAAGCCGACCAGCGTCTAACATTTAAAACTGCTGTCAAAATATTTAAATCCCATAAAACATCCACAATTTTATCTCCAAGGGTAAAAACAAACATCTTAAGGGCGGAACCACCAGACAAACTGTCTCGCATCCATATTTATCTCCAAAATAGTAAAAATTTGAGTTCAAGATCAAAACACCCGATAATATTCCATATTCCTACTTATCTCAAAAATAGAAATTAATTCTCTAAAAGTTCCAATATGAAGATATTAATTTCTTATCGCCAGACGCGAAGACGCTGT